CGTGCACGTGCACGTGTGCGTGACAGGTGACCGGAGCTGTGTGTGCACGCACGCTTATTACAGTGTGAAACACTTGACTTCCATATGAACGCGATCACATCCTGATGTCTTTCTTTCTGCGCCAAGGCCTCAGTCACAGAGGTGGAAGCAACAACAGGGTGAGGTCAGGCTGAGTGGGAGTGGCAGTGGTATTAGCATGAGAAAGCCTTCGTCCTCGGCTCTCTCTTCCTCTTCAGTCACAGGACGGTTCGCTCTTCTTAAGCGTGCAGTTCAGTTTCTGAGGAAATCTTTGTCCACTGGTTTGTTTCACTGTGGTAAACAGAAGACGTGAATCTGTCACACAGCACAACACTGAGACGAATTCAGCCTCACATGATTCATATTTATCAGAAATAATCATTCACCAGTGACTGATCCAAACATGGATCCGTGCGTGCTGCTCGCATTATTATTGTAAGCTTTGAACTCAGTCATATCTGACGTTTCTTTTGATACAAAGAAGCAACTTGTTGCTGCAACATTTCTGGATGATGGAGACACGAATGCTTCTGCTCGATGTCTTGGAGCGGTTGATGCCTTCTGCCCTGACTGACCCTGTGAGTTACACCGTCAGGTGGACGGCTCGCGTTGGCCAATCAGAGGAGCTCTCATTTACACAGTTTTATATATAAGGCAGTGCTGGGATTGCTGCTCTCCTGCACGTGTTGCCTGCTCGCAGGGAAACGTGCAGCTCGTGTTTCTCTTGCTTTCTGTTTATTTGCACAAACTGAACTCGGTAGAAGAGTTTTTGTGTGTTTGGCTGCAGAACGACTGGGAAACGAGTTCATTTCATTATAAATGCTTTTAAATCCAAACTAAGATCCTTCAGGCCGTTTCCATAACACAACTGTTTCAGTTAGATTGTTGTCATTTTAATTGAATTGAATTTTGTGTGTGTTGTTGTTGCCTGTGTTTAATTGTCTAATTTTTGTAACTGTGGAGTATGCTGCTGCCTGTTTTGAGCAGGCCTCCTTTGGTTTGTGGGATCTTCCTCGTCGGGGCGACAGCATGGAGCTCGCCTTTGATTAAAAACACGTTTACTGCACAGAATCACCAGGATTGATTGAATTCACTGATAGTGAAGAATATTTGTTCAGTGCTTTTCTTTGAATGGATCTAAACTTTGATGAAGTCTTCCTGAGCGAGAAGCTCCACCAAACGAGCCGATCGATGTCGAACGCTGCACGAGCCGCATGCAGCCGGCGCAGCAGTAATCTGGCAGCACGAGGAGCAGCGCCGCTCTGCTGCTGCTCGTGTTTGTGGAACAGAGACAGGGAGGGGGTATGGAGTCTTTTGTTGGCAGCAAACTTCCAAAATCAAATGCGTTTTGTTGTTTTTCCAATTATTTTCCCACTTGGCTTCAGGCCCCGCCGATTGGCCCTTCAGAGCCGCGGCTGTTACGGGTCACATCGGGGTCACGGATGCTGCCTTCAAGCTCGTCTGCAGCTGGCGGTCTCACACGAACTGGGTCAGTCACACTGTGGAGTGAGGATGTGCAGAGAGCTGAATCACTGCTCTGATTCCTGACGACTCGGTGCCGGCAGGGCTCAGGGAGTCGGATGACTCTCACTTTATTGCCCATTTCTTGGCCGGAGCCGAGGAGACGTTTGCCATCGTCTCTGTTGGAAGCCTGTGTGAAAATCTTGCTGTGGAAATAAAAAAAAGAGGCAGAATGTGGCGCTCTCTCATTTTCGCTCACTCTTCTTTCTCTCACCCCCTACTCCCTTGTACTCGTCCTCCCTCCGTGGGTGTTCGGTACACTAAGTGCTGCGTGATTGCCGGGGCCGTGAGGAGGCGTGAACAGCCCTCAGCCAAGTGTCCCTGCTTCCCCGAGTGGTTTTTCTGGCGCTGCTTTGGTCGAGTGGCAGAGGAGTCAGCAGTCTGATCAACCACAGCGCTGCGTGGCAACGCGACGGTGCGATTTCCATAACAGCCTCTGTGTTGTTGATACATGCAATAATGGTCACAGCGAAATGTCACGCAGGCTCGCCACATCTGGGCGAAGCGCTCACGTGTGCCCTTCAGGAACGTGTGCGGGGAACAGCAGCATTGTCTTTGCTGCAGCCTGTCAACAGCAAATAATAAAGACGGGCTTGAAGGGGGGAAACATCTGTGCAGATGTGGTGACGGAGGAACTTCAGTTTGAGTTTGTCGCCTCTCCCACAGGATGCAATCTGCTTATTTTCTGTTACGTGGCGACTACATGATGTCAGGAGACAAAGTTACACAGCAGCGGTCGGTGAGGTCGTTGTGATGTCACTCACTTTGTAAAGCATCATCAGTGTTTCGATAACAAGCCGACTGTGAAGCTCAGCGTCACTGAGCATGCTCTGAATGACTGCACAGCGCTGCGTTCAGGGCCCAGGTTAGCGTGACCGTCCACGGATTTATCATCGAAATCTTTTATTCCTTTTGAAAATCAAACATTTCTGGGCGATTTATAGTCTGTTTATGGGCTTTTTCTACATAAGAGCAGTTAAAACGTTCCCAAATGATCCCAGCCTGTGTGTTTATCACATAACAGAACAACAACCACACGCCTCTAATGTGTGATGGGTAAAAAACATACAGATCTTCTCATTTTCATCGGCCCAGGTTGGATACACTGCATAGAGTATTTGCAGCTCATTATTGTTGAGGTGCACATCTGGTTTCAGAGTAAGAGTTTAAAGTTTGACTAAGTCTGGATGTTTGTCGGCTCTGTGGACGAGGTGCTGACGCTGAGAGCTGTGCTGCTTTTTGCACACTGTTCCTGAACTGATTACGAGGGGCTGCTGAAGGTGGAGGGAGGTGGAGGGAGGTGTGCCTCTGCACTCTGTGCACAAGTCTTTTATTAAAGATGTGGGAGCGTTCTACATCAGAGACCAAGGCCACGAGAAATAACCCGACTGCACCCGTGCAGGCTGTCGTGTTGCACTGACGTGAGCGTGCACGCTGCTGTCTTTATTCCTGCGTTGCTATTTCAGCTTCAGCCGTGATTCATCCAGCACTTATTAATTAAAGCTGTTCCTGATCACCAGTTTGCTTCTCATAGTCCCTCCCACTCCCTTTGGCTCAGCTGTCTGTGTTTACCATATTGACAGTGATGCATATATGCAGCCTGAAGTCTGTTTTTAAGGTCGCTGAGCAGCCGAGGTTCCTTTCAGCTCGCTGCTACACATCTTTATGTATTTTTCATTTTCTCAGGTTTGTTCTGAATGATTTCTCTGCCCTTTCAGCTGCAGTCATCATATAGCTCCATATGCTCTATCTTAGGTCTCTGCTACAGCAGCTTTGTGTTCACACTTCAGAATAATCCTTCTGTCTATCACCTGTCTCAGACTTCATCCTCTGTCTGAAATAAGCTGTTGTAGTGTTTGCTGAGCGCTCTCTGTGTTCCCTCCCGTCTGCAGCGGTCAGTTTGCTGTGGTCAGAAGATGCAGACACAGGACTACAGGTGTGGAGTTCGCCGCCAAATTCATCAAGAAGCGGCGCAGCAAGTCGAGCCGACGAGGGGTGACGCGGGAGGACATCGAGCGCGAGGTGAACATCCTGAAAGAGATCCAGCACCCGAACGTCATCGCGCTGCACGAAGTCTTTGAAAACAAGGCGGAGGTCATCCTGATCCTCGAGCTGTGAGTTTGTCTTCTGTTTGTCAAAGAAATGTGTAAAATACATTTAAAGCCACAAAAGGTCCAAAAACACACATGAAGAGCAGATCGGAGGGATTCATTCATCAGATTTTTAAAGCATTTAAAAAAACACCCGATCAGAAGCACTTTGGTTGAAGTTCAGAATCGGTGAGATTTTGTCTTGGTGAGGAGACACAGACTGGCTCCTCCTCTGATAAACGTCCTGCAGGAGCCGGTTTGTCTCCAAACAGACGGCTGATAAAAAGCGTGACGGTAACTGTTTCCCACCAGTTAAACCAGTTTTACACGCGTACTTCAAACATCAGCAGTGTTTGTAGTCCAACTATGCACCATTATTCACCATTACTCTGCGCCTCAACAATAAGGTCGCCGCGCTGCAGATAGTCGCCCGACGGCATTCCTGTCCGCTGATCGCGTCTGAAATAATGGCACCGTGTTTGTTGTGGTTCGCCCCGACCTCGTCTCCACGTCGATAGTGAGCGGGCAGACCGCGTAACTATAGCAACAAATAATCTCTTTTCCATGTCGTGTGTCTCTGTTGTTTATGTTCTTTAGGCTGTTAAAGATGTTAGAACATGTTAATAACAGCAGAATGAGATTAGCTGTTGTTTTCCAGTTTTCATCTTTCCTCGTTCCCAAAGCAGGAAACACAGCCTCTCTGCTCCTGATTGGTCTCTGTTCATGGGCTGTGAAATTACAGGTTCAGCAGTAAAATCAGGGGAAAACTCTCATTAGCATATAATCAGTTTACTGAGAACATTCACGGGTTTAAAAATAGTGACGCCTCGGTTCATGTTCGAATTCTCCACCCTAAGTAGCCGTTTATCTCCTCTCTGAGGCCTTTTTAAATCTAAGCTCATAAGTTCATAAGAAGTTCATAAGAAGTTTATAAGAAGTTTATAAGAAGTTCATAAGAAGTCGCGTCTTTAAACCTGTAAGACTGTCGGAGGCACTTTGTAAGTGGACGGTCTGAGAGCCGCCGTCTCCCTCCTCAGACACGTCGGTGTTTCGGGAGGTTCTCACCTGTCAGGGACGCGTGTCAGCTGAGCCACCTTTGGCCTCGGGTCATTCTAAAGACCTCCACCTCTGCTCCATCCATCTATCCTCTACCTCCATCACACAGTATCCCACATGTTCACTGCTCACTTTATTTTCACTACGTAATGACATAGTTAACCTCATGAAGGACAAATATGGAAAATTCATGCTTTTTTCTTTGTGTTGTTGAAGTGCAGATGTTGTGAGTCTTTCAGAGGAAGTGGAGGTCGGTTATCTGTGGGCGTTATTAACGAGTGAGTGAAGCAGGAGACGTTTCTGTCCTCGAGCTTCCTCTGTTGGGTGTCGCAGCTCGAACGTATGAGAGTTCAGAGGAGAAACACACCAGGCTCCCACAGAAGCCACACCAGTGCCTCCATAAGTGATGGAGGTGCTGATGGTTGTGAGAGTATAGAGTTCACATACAAGCCAAATATTTCAGCAGAAAACACTCAAGTTTCCCTGAAGTCTTCGATCCGTCTCGTTTTCACGACGCACTTTGATCCGCTGATGGTGACGAGACGTCTGTCGGTGTTCAGCTGCTGCTGATAGAGGATCAAATATGAACCAGGAAGTTTGTTTTAAAGGCTTTAAATGCTTAAATGTTACACAAGAGCTCGAACTCCTGGATTGGCTGGTTTGATGTCTGAGGTAAACGCTGCTGACAGGTGTGGCTGCGTTCTGGATCTGGTAACGTGTGATTTCGATGTTTTTTTTCTGTACTTGGAACGAACCTCTGATCTGTTATGGGTCAGAACCACAGGCGATATGAAAGACTGATGAAGCCACGGTGACACCACTCACTTTCTGGATGGTTAGCACCACACAGTCGTAACGTCAGGCACAGAGCCCGTTAAACACCCAGCAGGAGCCGCGGTTTAATGACGTGGGAGGAGCTGTCCACAGAGACCCAACACCTCCTTTGTCCCAGGCCTGATTTTTAATGCAGGCAGATTTTAAAGGCGTTCGCTTCATTTTTCAGCTTCAAAAATGGGTTTTAACACAACTCCATGATTATTAGAAGGTTTTAAAGTCGCGACACGTTTCGCCTCACGCTATTTGCAGAACCACCGTCTTTAAAGCGTTTCAGCAGCCCGCAGATATTCACCTTCCTCCTGATGTACGTCACAGTCAGTAAAGCAACACTTTCAGACGAAGCGCACAATCGTGTTCAGTGATGGTGACATATTGTCGTCATGTGTTGAAGTGTATTGATGTCCCGGTGCCAGTTTTTATTTCACAGGAGTCGCCTGTTTGTGCAGACGCTGCATGTGAAATGGAAACAGCTGATGTCGGTACAGTTTGGTGTTTATAGTCAAAGTCGGCTCTCGAGCGTGCGGCGAAGTCGAAGTGACAAGATGTCGTGTTTTGTTGATTTCGGGGCCCTTT